AAAGCAAGAAAATACAACATAGCAAATGCACAAGCAATTCCACTTCATACCTATGAATCTCTAAGCCACTATCTACACAAGTTTTGTGAAATTCATGATGGCAAGGCAATATCCGCATGGAATCGCCATCTTCATACTCCACTAGGCATATGTAACATCTGGAAAAGTAATTAAAAGATTACAACGTGAAAAGGATCATAAGTTACCAACAAGGATTAAAACTTCATCTAGCCTTTTGGGGATGTAACCCCTTTACACAGGGTTAAACATGGTTGAGTACCCCACATCTAAGAATCAATCTTTTTCAAATTAAGAGGAATGTCAGATGCAGATGAATTTTTGTATTTAAATTTATATTTAATGTGGATTGGTGGCACCTCCTAGGTACCTAGTGAATAAAAATTTATTTTTCAATATGCTACCATCCTGTCAAGTATCATGAAAATGTAAAAAACTCGAATAATAATTTATTATTCTATTAAATAATGTTCTGCCATCTAGTCAAATACTACAAAATCTAAACCAGTCATATAATTTCTTATAAATTCTTTATTAATAGAGGTCCTCTTCTTCAGAATAAGTTCTTCATCGGGCATGGTTGAATCATTAACAACAAATGTCTTGTTCGTTTAGGAGAAAGAAAAATAGTATTCTTGTTTTCTCAAAAATAAAACTAAAATTTAGATGATCTTACAAAGAAAAAGCCCACATAGTATGTTAAGGTAGAGAAAAAAACAGAGCATTGTTTAACATGTCATTGGCCATGTGCCTATTCCAAGAAACCACCTACATATTTTTTGATGACTACAAAACTGAAATATCATATCAGGGAAGAAAACCGATAACTACCAAGAATTTTCCTTTACAGACAAAATAGAAGAAAACCCAAAATTACAAGAATAAACCACAACTCATATATCTTAGTTTGTGGCACATTTGGTTCACTGTTTAAGGCAGGAATCATGTCAAGAATATGATAACCACTATGTGATACAGATTCAATATAGTGTCTATGAGTTGTATTAGGAGCATTTTATAATTGTGATGACTAAAGAAGTTATAATCCTGATTCAAGACTGGGTCACGGATCATAAATCGGGATGATAAGAAAACTGTAAAATAATTTCAGTAGGTTTTAGACTAATTTAAATATATATAGTATGTCTGAGATTGGGTATAAAGAAAAATTTTATTATAATGTCAATAATTAAGAGGTTTCTAGAACTATTTGCACGAAATTTTATAATTTTTTCAAAGTGAATAATATGTAACAAAAATTAAAATATTACTTTTTTTTTAATTAAAGTAAAGCTTAATTACAAAAATGGTCGTTGCAGCAATCATCATCAATATTGGCACCACTATTACTGTCGTAACAACCACTACTACTACCACAACAGTTAATAAAAAGATACGTTGTACTACCTTACTCATTTCCTTAGGATAAGAATCTCACTCGTTGGTACTTATCCTACCCTAGCTTGCTACCTTCCATGGCCCTACCCACTATGCTCAGGTGCCAAATGTAGTTTAATTACACAAGAAGCCATATCACCTATAACTATTACAATAACAACTTTCATTGAGTTACTATAACCAGAATGGAAAAAAATTTTATCGAAGGATTGTAGAAATCTCCAAATGTCCATGAAACAAAAGAAATAAAATACTCCATAGTTATAAAAATTTAGCACATGGATGCGAAATAGTAAAGATATCAATACTTACTGCGAGACCTCTTCATTTTGATGTCTTTGTGACTTGGTGTATGATTTGACAGGTAATGAATCGACAACATTGTTAGGAGCAGGGACAGATCCAATTGAGGACACAGAAGGTCGGGAAGATAAAACTACAGATTGCTGGTGAATTTCATCCAGAACCTAATGAAAATGTGGAAAGAAAATCAACAAAATAGGTATTTAAGGAACAAGAAATGGAAGAGTGATAGTATAAATGCAATAATGCATCAACTTTACCTCAAACAAAGCTTCAGCTAGCATAACAATCCTTGATATGCTAGCCCTAGTGCTACTGTCATCATTCAAATTGGCATCACGATTATTTGAACGACATGTGCAACGACCTCTTCGATGTTGACCAGATAATATACAAGTTCTCTCATGACCAGAGAGGTTTTCGAAACGACTTCCCAAACGTTGAAGAGCACGAACCTAGATTAGTTGAACCCCATTACTGGTTTCTTTTGCATATAACAGGGCATGTAGAATGAGAAAAACAAAATGGGAAAGAAAAAGAAACAAGAGCAGATAGTTGGAGTATAAAGGTTTCTTCTTTATAATTACAGCTAGAAAAGTTCCAGGCTGTGCCCTACTTGGGTCCAGTAGACAGGAAGATGATGGCAGTGCTAAATAGGTCAGAGCTCTTCAAAGCAAAGAATTAATACTATATGACATATAATATTAAGATAGATATCATTTTCAATATTCAAAATAGAAACTCTCAGAAAATCACCAACAAAATCTTAGATTGAGAGAAATTTACAAACCTGAGATCGTATTCTTCTCCTCCTTTCCAGGAAGTTTGATCTATGTTCCAATAGGTCATGATACCTAGCCTCCCTTGGACGAGGGGTTTCCCCATCATAACCTTGAATTCCAAAAAATGAGTCAGAGATGTTGGATGGCGGATGACCAGATGCAGAGGGGAAGGTCAGTGAAGCCCCTTCAGTTGCTGATAATCTTGTCTCACCCCTCAAGATCTGCCTCCCACTACCAAGACTAGCATCTCTAATTTCTCTCACCTGCTCCAAAGGATAGAATGTAAATTCAGATAGTGATGATCGTCGAAGAACTCTATCACGTAGTCTTCCAACACTTAGAGTTCTGCTAAAACGAACATTCCTTTCTACAGGTTCTCGAGCTCCTATCCATCTATCAGAAGTTCTAGTGTCAACACTATCCAAATCATTACCCGTTCTGGGAGAATTAAGGTTGACATCAAGCCCCATGTTGAGAGCACCAGTATCTCTAGCTGCATCATTAACTGAAAAAATTATCCTATTACCTTGGAAATGTTCTGTTAAATAGAATGATGGATGATTTAACTACAAATTACCAGAGGGGTTCCTATCGACTTGCCCAAGAGTTCCATTGCTTAGAGATGCAGGAAGTGAGTCACAGACTTGCTGAGTTTGAATTCTATCTAAAAAGCTACCTGCAGATCCTGACCCTATACTAAGACATTCTTCATTGTTCAACATTGCAAGACTTGTTGATGAACGACGATAAGATCTTGAAGATCCTAAACTGGAAGCTCTGTTTAGTCTCAAGCTTACATTACCAGGGATGGAACTAAACCGAGAAAGAATACGATCTGCAGTGCTCAAGGATTGAGTAGAAGAAGCTTGGGCAGAAGTGCTACCAGTTCTGGAGGCAGTAGTACCTATGCTTGCTTCACCCCAACCATCAAGCTCGTCATTGGAAGATACACAAGGCTCCCCATCAGAGTTTTCAACTTTAACTTTTCTGTCGCTATTTGTTTTCACCTCGTCTGGTTCTGTTTCTGTCTGTTCTGTACATGAAGGATCACTACCATTTTCTTTGTTTTGATGATTGCATACCTAGTATGGGTATGACACGCAGATCATCTCAGTTGCTGGAATAATGTCAGCAACTTCATTGCAAACACCAGTTACATATATTTACTTAAAAAACCACCGTGTTACCCGTAGCAGATTGAATTAAACAATCAAAACACTTAATCCAACTAACCCAACTAATATATTTAAAAAATTTTGAAGTCACATGTAGATTTCAGTAAATTTAGAAGCCCTACTCCTTATGTCAAAATGCGCCAAGAAATGGATTTCCCACCTAAACAGGAATGGGGAAGAGTGAAATAGGTTTTGAATTAACTTCC